TGCTTTGCCAGCTGTTCCCAGTTAGGCTCTGCCAAGACAGGCAGTAGTAGACGACAAGGCTGGAGGAGAGGGGTGAGACCTGCTTCTTTGGCTTTCTGTTCCCACGAGCATCATCCCAGCAACTCTTCCTGTTTGCTTCCTCTTCGAATAGACGACTTCCTGTTCTAAGCACAGCCTTGGTCTTGCTTTCCTCTGACAGTGGCAGTGCCTCCCAGCAGCAGCATCTGAATCCAGTTTGCAATTTTCCCGGCATTTGCCAACAAGCCTCATTGCTCTCTGCCCCTCTGAGACCCCAGCATCCCCTCTTCAGCAGCCACAGCACATTTCCCCCCAGCTCAGAGACACTAGCACCCGGCCCTCCTCTGAGGGGGTTCTCCATTTCAGCTCTGGGGAGGCCTTTCCTGAGTGTTTCTGGCTATTCCAACTTCCTTCTCAGTTCTACTGCCCCCGGCGTGGCTGCTGCTTCCTGTAGCTACAACCTCCTAGTAGCTTCGAGTTCTTTTTATTTTTAGCTTGTATAGCTAGCTGTAATTTTTAATTCTTGTTATGAAAGTAACTGATGTGTGCTCTCTGTCACTGGACTCCATGCCGACTGATGTGCTCAGCTTTGTTCTCTGTCCAGGGGTGGCAGGGGGCCAGGCATTGATACAGGATGGTAGAATCGGATCCCACTTAGCTCTGTGAATTGGGTAAGCCGCAGCCTCCTGAAACTAAGACTGCAAATGCTAACCCTGGGCAGAGTGCAGCCATAGATGTCGATGACGCACTTTCACAACACCACCTCAGTTTCTTGCCGTGAAGCATGTCCTTTCCTCTCACATCTGTATTGTCTGTCAGCTCCTGAAGGGACCCTGGGTGCAGGTTGTTTTCAAGGCTTCGTCCAGATCGGACAGCTTTCATGTCTGGCCAGGTGCAACGCTATCCTGCTCACGACACCTGGTTTCATGGGAAGCTTGAAGGATGTCCACAAGGAGGTACGAGTGATTGGATTTCTGCCCAGCCAGGAAAAAGCACAAGAAGTAACTGGCCCCTCTGTCCCGGCCACTCCAAGGAACACGGACTCCCTGGAGATGTTAAGAGCATCTAAAGCTGTGCAGTGTGGATTGTAACCCATTTCTGGCCACATATGTTGCTGCCTTGCTGGCAGATTTGTTGGACATTTGGAGACTTTGTGCTCGGAGCCTGGCTCAAGGAGGAAATAGGCTTGAACACTGTTCTGGTGGCAGAATGCGAGTGGCCTCCTGGGAGTGCTCCAGCAACCCCGAGCTCTGTGCAGACCAGAGGGCACAAGTCACATGTATGTGAGAAAGTGGCCTGGCAGAAAGCCAGCTTCACCTAATGATGACGCATCTTGTGCGGCTAGAGGACCCGCGTCCTCTCTCCTTTGCACTCAACATCAATAGATTTGTCCCTGAACAAAAACTACTTAGGGAGACTGCATTTGAAGGGTCCTCACCTTCACCAAAATTAATTTTTCTTTCAGTGCTCACTTATCCCTCTGGCCCCTTTAGCCAGGGGCATCCTCAGCAGCAAGCAGGGGTGTAGACCTGGCCTTTGGAGATCCACGGGGACTCCCCACTCTGGTCACGCTGAGCACAACCTGCACCCTGAAGCCTCTGCACCCGCTCCTCTTTAGATGTGTCCTGTTTGTGTGAGTTTGCTTTTGTGACACGCCGTCCCTGGCTGCTGCCTGGGGCCTGGGAAGACCCTTTCTGCTTGCACCTGGCAAAGAAGCTGATCTGCTAAATGTTCTAGTAAGTGAATGCATGGAGACTTACAATCTCTTTGAATGACAGCATTGAATTCATACCATCTGGACCAGGCTGAAATTTTTTGGAGGTCCTGGGTGCCATTGGATTGATGGGAACTAACCCGCTTCCCTGAATCACATTCCCAGGATGGCAGAGAGGCATTTGCTTTCTATTTCAGCAAAGGAGTTCTCTATACATCAAAGGGCTAGACTGGACATCTATTTCTGATAGCCACACCCATACATGCCAGATGAACATTATTTATGGGTTGTCTATTTAATCACCAAATAATCTTTTCTGTTACAGAGGAGGCTAGTGATTATATTCAGGCCCAGAAGTAGAGGGGTGACTATGTCCAAGGGGGCTGTGGTCCTGGCACCCACAGGACACAGTGCCCTGTGCATGCACTGCTCTAGGTCATGAACTAGCAGGCAGCTTGGCACAGCTGTGCCTGGGTCAGGCCCCCTGTCCATTCACAAAGCAAAGACTGGACAGGAGCTCAGAGACAGGACATCAGCTTTACTGGGCTGCCTGCCCCTCAGACCGAGTTTGGACTTACCCCAGCTGCATATCTGAAGGTCTAGGGAAATTGTTCCCCCTCTGCAATCTCAGCACCCCAAGCACACACAAGGTCAAAGTGCAGGAGCACAACAGCCAGCCTGTGTGTGACACACACAGGACAGTCCTCTTGCTCTTAATCCTGTCCTCGGGAAGTTCCTTTCTCCCTTGGATGTGTGATTTTAGAAGATGAGGCCTCGATGCCTGATATTCTCATGTTCCTTCCCCGGAGGAGCCTTCCAAAATGGTGGTAGCTGATGGGAAGACATGATCCCACTTACAAAATTCTGGCTAATTCAATCTTTCAGGTGCTCTTTCATCTGGCCTCTGTCTCCCTTATCCATCCCTCTCCTGTTCCACTCTCAAGTCATAGTGATCCCAGCTGTCTGCCTTGTGCAAGCTGTCCTTAAGGGACTGAAGGTCTCCAAGACGGTCCTCCTTTCTTAGGTCTTAGCTCCGATGTCACTTGCTCAGCAAACCTCTGAACCTCCCAGCTCATTTTCTAGCACGTGATCTCCTAGCTCCCTCTACTTTCCTTCCTGACATCATCATCATTTGCAGTCATGTCATTGTGCAATGACTGGTCTCAGTGGAGCGAGAGCTCCCTGAGGCCCAGCCTGTGCCCATGCTGCTCACCACAGTGTGGGGAGGGCCTGGCTGTGCAGAGACACAGATGCTCATGAGCACGTGTAGACTGTCTGGATGGTGCAGCAGACAGGTTCTCTAACAGGCAGGAATGTGGGAACAGGGTCAGCACGCTCTGCATTCACAGCGCCACGCTCCCTCAGCTAGGACCTCGGCACACAGCACACACGCCTGTGGGCTCACAAGAATGGCCAGTTTAGTCTGACCCTCCCTTAACCATCACTTTCGGAGAAGGGAGTGTTGAGAGGGTGTGGCCGTGATATAAATTTGCCCAGGTGGCTTTAAGCAGGGCAAACACCAGTGAACTGAGGCTCACCTCAAAGTGCTGGTCCCTCCCAACTCTCTAGGGGAACCAAGTGAGAGAGAGGCCAGTGGGGTGCGAAAAAGCATGGGGGAGAATGCCTCCCATGGTGTGAGGATGAGGTGAGGAGGCCTCGAGCTGGGGACCAGGCTCAGTGCGTGTCATGGGGGCCGCCTGGCTGGTACCAGTTTTCCGGTCTGAATTGCCCTCATGAGCAACACAATCAACGGACAACCATCCCAAGCTCTTCAGATGAAGAGGCGCCCAAGAGCACCCCACTGAGTGAGCACTGTGTGCTTTGGCCGGAGTTCTTTACAAAAAAACTACAGCTTGGTCCACCGAGGATGCCACTCTGCATCAGGAGACACATTACAATCCTTTATAAAGGTGACCTTCCCAAAGCCTTATAAAGGATGCACAGTCAGGATTTTAATATCACTGTGCACAAGGGACCCTCAGTGGGTCCCCTTTTTTATTCTTTCAAGACATTGACACTTGTCTTGAAACTCTAAGTTGAAAAGTTGTTTAGGTTGCAAACCACCCTCCTCCCTTCCCATCGTTTCCAGCTTGTTTTTGAGAGAAAAGTTAAGCGTTTCAAATCAACTGAAGTGAAAATATTAAAAAAAGCTCTTAATCACCACAAACTGGTGTATTGTTCCTTGTGATTCTTTTCTGAGGATAGTCCCTGGCGGTTTTAAAAACACAGCTGCAGTGCTCCCTCCCTCCTTGCCTTCCTTCTGCAAGGCTGAGAACGGAGCCCCAGGAATAGCAGACCCTCAGGCTGTTCTTTAGTGAGACGTTCTCAGGCACAACTTTAAGTGCTATTGGAAAGACAGACTCCTCTGCAATTATGAACTGTGCATATGGATTCGTGACACTAAGGAAAATATTTCTGCTTTCAAGCAGTGAAGAGGGTTATGTGCTCCACATATATTTCCCCAGATTTAAATTCTGGTGAAAGGTTTCTCTTTCTGGTGGCCAGCCTTAATGAGCAAAGGCTTTGTGATGCTAACCCTTTGTGGCTTTGTGTAGTCCATTGATGCTATGCATTTCCAATCTTGCACCCAGTGCACATCCCTCTCGTCAATGCTTAAAGATGGCATGTGATCTCCATGCAAACTCATCTACTTGTCTCTCTTTGAATGAGGAGGTTGTGTGTGTGGGTTCTGCCATTTTAGCAACAGAAAGGGAGCAAGACCAAATTGGAGAATCTCAAATTTCCACAGAAGAGTCAGGTTTATTTTTACTAAAAAGTCCCGTTTTCAAATAAAATGGTAAAAAATGAGTATAGTCAAAGAAGGATGTTTTATATTTAGTCATTTTACAAGAGATGCAACTAGGGAGAACCTTCCAGAATGGCATGGGGTAACCTTAGAAGACAGTGCCAGAGACACTGTCCGGAATTCCATAGTCTGGAATTCTGTAGTCAGAAGTGCATGAGGATGTTATTTCCAGGGAATAAAGATAAACTCATATCCTCGAACCCCTCACTTCAGTCAACTATATTTTTGTACTGCCCACCATTTTAAAATATAACAGGATTCTGCTGGGTTCCCAAATAAAGAAGCATTATGAAGTAATAGCCTGGTCTATGTGACCTTGCCAACTCTCAGGTACTGCTGACTCATTTGAAATATGATGCTTTAGAAATAGAATAGGTGTATTTGCTTAGAAAAAACTTGGAAAAAATTCCATATTTATGAAATTCAAAATTCAAACAATATAGGATCATATTTTCCATATCAGAACAGGCACTGTAAACAATTTCTTTTTTAAATTACGAACAAAATCCTCTTCTTGCACATGGAAAGAGACCTGTCTTTAGGAGGTTTAATTTCTCAAGAATGAGTTTTCATAAATTGTCTTTATGAAATGTAAAGCACCCAAATGTAAAGCACCTGTCATGATAATTAAAATTAAAGCAGTTGACTTCACCACGGAGCTATTTAACTTTCCTTACTCAAAATGAAAAAAACAAAGAGAACTTTCCAGTAACAAAGGCTGACCTGATCCTGCAGGGGTATAGGATTATGGGAAACTGAGGGCCTCGGGTGGCAGAATTGTTCAACTCATCACACCTAAAGGCATCATTTTAAGCAACTGTAAAGAGATTGTATTTGAAAACCTCTTTCCAACACTTCTGTTTGGAAAGAGGACATTGGTGAAAATTCTTGCTTATATCAGGCTGGAATTACTACCTGCATTCTCTCTGTAGCTGTTACACTTCAGTTCTACGGATCCATAAGCTGTAGAGCTTCTGCCCAGACTACAAAACACAAACTTGTCTAGAGCCTGGAGTGGGTAGTCAGAAGCCAAACTGAGCAGAACTGTCTCTTTCTGCAATCAACTATAAGTGGTCCTGGGGCCAGACTGCCCTGTTCGAGTATCTCCAAACATCTCCATTTAATGGGCCTGAGAATCTTCTAGATGGTGTCACTGGGGAGTCAGCACAACTTGGTTACATGCCTAAATCAATCATAGGGTTGACTCTGAATCTTTCCAATTCAGAAGAAGCAAGGTCTGGGGGGAGATAAACTGAAGGTTCCTATACTACCTGTGATTATAAGCAAATTTGAAGCATATCCTTCATTGTGTGAGATGTAAGAGGGAATGTTAAAACTACCCCAAGAATTCTGTTTCAGTTCCTTAGTTGTCAAACTGCCTACAAAATATTTTGTAAGTTGGTAGCACCTCAACTTGAATTGCATAAAATGGGATCAGTTGAGTATCACTTCATTACTCGATGCACTCGAAAGTAATAAAATGCTCATGTGCCAGGTTTTTTTTTTTTTTAATTCCTTTGAATTAGTGCAAATTAACAAAGTGAAGCTTTAGTTTTGTCACCATTGCCATCTTCATGCCAGGAGGGAATTCTATTATTTGTTTAGAGGAGACTTCAGTGGCTTTTCAATACTTCCTCATGTCTTATTCAAATCAAGCTGCCTTTGAGTTCAACTAGAAGTTTGTTTTTGACACCCACACCCCAGGACCCTGGCTGGTCCACTCGGAGTAGATTATTCCTCTGCTTGTAACCATGGGATCAAATGAAACCAGGAGATATTCATGCAACAGCTTCATTTTCAGATGTGAAGACTGAGGTGAAGGGAGGTGAAATGACTCATGTCTGCCTTTCACCAGAGCCAGCTGCACGTGAACTCCAAACTCCAAACCAATTACTTAAGATGAATACTGGAATCAAAGGATCTTAGGATTCCTGCCCTTCTTACAAGCATCGTTGTATCCTTGCCAATTATTACTGTGCCCTGCGTGATTTTAGTGAAACCCTTGCTATGAGCATGTCCTCGGATCCAAAAGGGCAGGGGATGCATTTTCTGCTCAGTTGAAGAAAATCATTTAGTTTATTCAGCAAACAAGGGACAAACTTTAGTGCTTAGATTCCTTTTAAGCAAATGACCTATGGTTAATTAATATCTCCCAGCTTTTATCCTTTAATCTCTAGGTTTAAATTCTCCAGTAGTAATTTCACCTAAACCCATGCCTGTAATCACAACTGTAGACAAAAGCAAGCCTTCCTACAGCAATGAAAAAAAAGGGTGCTCATTTTTTTCATGCTAAACTATGATATCCAATTAGTGTGATAATGGTTCCCCCCGCCCTTAGCAGGATAACTGCATCTTTAAACATATTTTTCACATTCAAGTTCTGTCGTACAGGCATATTCTAGAAGAGTGAATGCAAACAGGTTTTGTTACCCATTCATTTGTGACTTCAGTCATTAATATAACTGTATCTTATCAACACAAATGCTGAATTATACATTATGTAACTTTCCAAACACATTAAATTTTTAAAGACACCAGTAGGTATGATCATGTCACAAAATTAAACTGAGCTACAGGGTAGATTCCATAACTTCATTTAATATTGATAGCAGCTGAATTTAAATTCCAAAAAAGCAAATACCTTTAATAAATTTGGTGTGAATGATTATATATTTTGATACAACTATTATACAGGTGTGTATATATATATAAATCTATAGGTAGAATTATATACATTTCAATATATACCACACATATTTTTTTTCTTTAGTAATACAAAGCAGCTTTGCTGTAGATAGATGTGCAATGCGACATTAACTCCTGAGTAATTTAAGGGATCATTAATAAACTACTGTAAATTCGGGCCTTTCAGCTAAAGATCCAGTAGAGTCTGTAACAAAAATGTGAACAAAATAATGTTCAAAAGTATGCGTTCAGTTATGTGTTCATTTTGTGCTTAGCAATAAAAGCTTGAGACTGTACAGTAGCCATTTACATTTGGGAAAATTTTCTCAAATATTCAAAATTTAACAAATACTCTATTTGTATGGATTTATAGAAGTTTGAAGTGATGTTATCTACATCCAATTTGTCAAGCATGGAGGACTTCAGTCATGATTGAACAGAAATTCCCTTTTGCAGAATACGACATTCTGTGTAAACATCAGTGTGTAGGTATTATACAAAGTTCTGATTCAAAGGATGGAAAAAAGAAAAAAAATACAACGAAATAATTTATAATGCTTTTCTTGAGATACAGCCAGCCATATAGAAGGAATATAAAAAATAAGAGTGTATTCTGGTGAGAGGAAACCAGATGAAAGTCATTTGAGGGAGGTCTGGTTAAGTCTCCCACTTTGGGAAGTCCCAGGTTGACTTGGCTTAGAGAGTCCAAGTCAATCCAGCCACATCCATCTTGCCACAGGGAACAGACTCCACTGTGCGATAGGAAGAAAGCACTATGGGGAAAAGGCCACATTCAACTGCCATGGAACAGTACGAGCTGCCCATTAAGGTCGCCATCAGCAAGCCAAGCATCCCAATCCCAAACTCAGGCACTAGGTATGAACTGGTGAGGTGGTCCTGGAAGCCTGCTTGTGTCGGCCTGCAGCAGGAGGGGGTAGACCCCAACCCTCGCCTGGAAGTGTGTCTTGTCTCGGAGGCCCACTTCGACGAGAAGGCACTGCATTGGTAGATCTTCTGTCACCTCCAGCTCTATCCTGTCCCGTGGCTGCTGTAGTCAAAGACTCCTTTCTTGAAGAATGGTGAGAACTCACAAATGGTGTGTTTTGAAAGGGTCAGCCCCACTTTGTTGATGTGAAGGGGAGACGTCACAGATTGGAGCATCACACTGAAAAAGTCTCTGAGGTATTTCTGAGGAAGACACAAATGTTAAAAGTATGGTCAAGACATTGTTGGGTGGAGTAAATTAGAGGAGAAGAAATGTCCAGAAACAACTTCGCCTCCACCTTGAAAGAGCTGTCACCATCATTAGAAACAGCACATGGGGATCTCCTTCATAGCCTTAGGTATCATCAGACCAATGAGAAAACATAGCCATGCAGGTGACATTTCTTTGGCTCATCACTCTGGTTCATAGTAACATGGCCTCCAACCTACCTGCAGATAATGCCAGAGAAAGGCCAGCACGGTGCCTGTCGCAGGGTCTGCCTCACAGCAATAGTGTCACTAATGCCCTATTTTTTTAAAAAGCCATTATCTATCTCCCCCTAAAACTCACCAATAAGTAGAAAGATGATAAATGAAAAAATAAAGGCCAGCCATCTGTACAATGCTAAATGTGCTGCTGATTTGCATTTTTTAAATAGCTTAGTCACTATCTGCTTCAGATCCTTCTTATAAACTGAAGGAAATGCTGGGGACAGGAGGGTCAATTTCAAGTACTAATATTTACAAATCACTTTGCAAATCCTATAATCATCAATCAAAAAAAAATCTTACTACAGGCAAATTTCTCTGAATCTTTGCTGCCTTCATCCCCTGCCAGCCACACGTCTGTCACAGTATCAACTGCCCTTTCTGTCACTGAACAAAGCAAGCATATCCAAGACTAGGGGTCAAGATGCTGGGAACAGAATCAGATGCGGGTGCTTGCAGGATACATCCAAGAAGAGAAAACACACAAAGATGGTAATATACTCAGGTCAGGCAAACCTTACCCACAATGGGCAATGGATGGAAAAGATAGAGGAGGGGTGCTTAGACCTACACCTTCATCATCATTTATGCTAGTTTGAAAAATACACACAATCCTATCACAAGCTTAGAGTGTAAACATAATAATTATGAACTCTGAATAACAACAAAAAATCTCTTTGAAACATGACCGAGCCCTAGTAGTGGTTCCCAGAAGGGGTGATTTGCCCCACAGACAATACTCAGCAATGTCTGGGGACATTTCTGATTCTCACTCTGACAGGGAGTCACATCTATGGGGGCAGCTAACCATCCTACAATGCACAAGGTAGCTCCCACAATTAAGAATTATTTTATTCTAAATATCAATAAAGTCACATTTGAGAAACCTTGGCCAAAGGAAGTAGATTTCAGGTCTGAGTCGCCAACCTGAAATTCACATCTGAAATACACTCTGCTGGAGAAAAATGTGTTAGCTTTCTTAAAAATACTAACAAGGTGGGTCTCCCTGGTGGTGCAGGGTTTAAAGACTCAGTGTTCTCAAGTGAACACTGCCATTGCAGCCTGAGTTTGATCCCTGGCTAGGGAGCTGACTCACATGGCACAGCACACCTCTCCTGTCTCACCTGCTGCTCCCGTCAGCAGTGTATTTCTGTAGATTCACCTGTTCTGCTCCCCACTCTCTGGTGAATCCTCTCACTCCCTGCACCTCTGGCCTGTACCCCAGCTCTGATATGCATAAATAAATAAATCTTTAAAAAAATGGTAACAAGGAATCCTAATAATTAACATTACTAATAATTAACAGGTAGAGCAATTTAAAGTTTCTAACAAGCTAATTTTTTACATTTTATGGAGGTATAACTGATGTAAAACAATGCACGTCCTTTAAACGCACAATTTGATGAATCCCAGCACATGTATGGACCTGTGAAATCATCACCAAAGCAAGGTGATCCACATTTGTACCACCCCAGAGTTTCGTAGTTTCATGTTATCATCATACTCTGCCTAGACCTACCTCTTCTTATTGTAATGCACATTTTCAGGTGAGGAAACTGTTGAGGGAGAGGTAAGCAAGGTTGGCAATCAAAAACAAGTGTTTTTAACACAGATTCAATTTTCTTGGCTCAATTATTCCTAACATAGAGGCCTCATGGTAATCTCTCAGAAAGGGAGTTGAGATAGCTATCAGGTAAGTCCAAAACCAATTGCTGAAAAATGTTCTCCAGTACTAATTTGCACCAGAGAAGAGAACAGAATCAGAGCTCATCTTTTCTGGGGAAGAGACCTTGAGAAGAGCAACCTGAGAGAGAACTGAATTTCATCAAACATGGTTCCTAACAATGATCTGCCCAACTGGCCAACGCTTGCAATGAAGAGCATGTGCACAACTGATTGTTTTTAGAAGATGAAGAGAGATATGATTTAGCATGAGGAAGCCGAGGAGCTCTCTCACTTGGCCTGGCAGCCAAGAGAGAGTTGAAAGCAGAAATGGGTCTGCATGAGGTGACACCCAGCAGCTGCTCTACAGTTTGTGCTGCAGGTCCCATAGGCTGCATGAAAGTGTAGGCAGAGGAGCAGGACAATCTTGCCCTCAAGATGAATTCTGACAAAATAGAAGGTATTTAAATCAGGAACAGTTGTTGTATCAACACTTGTCATCATTAGTTCACAAACCAGGGTCCCTTAAAGGGCCAATAAAACATGAAAAGAGAAGTGGATGTTAAAAATATAAATAAAAGAAAAAGAGAAACCATTTGAGAGACTGTCCCTCCCAGGGCATTTACATTTCAGAAGAGAACTGTAAACCAGATAATGTCTTTTTCTTTAAATGAACTCATTAGCATGTTTTGATGAAAACTTGAGATACAAAGATCTGATCTGACTAATTTTAAATACCACAGAAGAATTTTTTTCTTTGCCAAATAAGTCTCTGCTTAGAATTGGGCAGCCTTGGCTCCCTTTCCACAGACTTCACCCTTGGTGCAAAGAAATGTTTTATTTAAAAAGTGTTCTCTGGAGAGTGGGCGGAGCAACATGGCGGCGAGGAGACGCTGCGAGTAAGATCTCCCATTAAAAAAAGTGAATAGGGAGGAAAAGCGGCAGGTCCCAGAGAGAACTGGGACACGGAAGATAAACGGGTGACTCCAGCAAACTGCCCGAAGAAGAAAGTTGCCATAAAAGAGGACGAGAAGGGAGGGAAGCGCAGAACCCTGCTCCCCTCCCCCGCCCACAGAGGCGGCGCTCTCCGCCCGGCAGAGAGGAGGAAACAACAAACCAAAACGGCCAACAAGAAAAACGGACACAGCAAGCGGGACTGTGAGTGGAAAGGAACTATTGCAGCCACCACACCCCGTGAATGGGAGCTGAGGCGAACCCTGCAGGATCCGCCGCGGAGGTGAGCTCCAGGCGCCATTAAAGAGAGCCCCGCCCAGGAGGAGACCAGCCCCAGCACACAGCCCCGGCCGCCCGGTAAGCCTGCGCGGAAAGTGGCACGGATCCAGACCGGATCGCAGCTGCCCAGGTCCCCGCGCGCCTGCGACCTAGGCTTGCGGGGAGACGGCGGAGGCCCTCCCTGAGTGAGCAGGAACAAGGCGCCCAGGCAGGGGAGCGGGTTTCAAAAGGCGCCATTCCCGCGCCACTGATCTGGGCTACAGCCCGCGTCCTGGAACTGAGGGCTTTGGAACTGAGACCCGGGGCACGAAATTAGGGGCGTGGGTTCCCCACGACGGTGGGGCACAAGGCAGACACAGCACCCCAAAGCCGTTGAGGTGTACCCTACCATCCCCGCTCTGCTCCCTGTCCCACGGGGTGGAAAATCAGCTCCCCAAGGGCTCTAGGAGAGATCTCTGGCGCCACCTAGCGACTTGACCCCAGCACAGGCTACTGAAGGAGCTAGTGGCCAGCTGGGGAGTTAGCCCACACCTGGCTCCTTCCGAACAAGTAGTCTGAGCCCACAGGGAGAGCGAGCACCCACAGCCGGGGCAGACCAGGCGCGCAGAAGAGTGTGCCTGAGACCAGACGCGCAGGGAGTGTGTCCCACATCACCATTTTAGAACAGGGACATTTCTTCAGTAAAGACTACCTGCAGAAGGCTTCCTCAGGAGCCAGAGGTGAGCAGGGGAAGTTCGCCCACGCCAGACCCCCTCTGGCCTGCAGTCCAAGCCCAGAGGGGAGCAGGAACCCACCGCCGGGCAGACCAGGCGCACAGGGGAGTGTGTCCCCACATCGGCATTTTAGAACAGGGACCTTTCTCCATTAAAGGCTGCTTGAAACTGACAGATGACTCCTGGTAGAACCAGAGGGGAACAGAGAAGCCCACCCAAGATGCCGGCCAGTCCCAACAACACAGTGTCCCAACGCATACGGCAAATTAGAAAACAGACAGTAGGGAGGAGAAGAACCACACGCAACCTAGCAACTCTCCAGAGAAAAAGCACACCACAAAAAGAAAGCCAGCCCCCAGATTGCAAAGACAATAACTTGGAAGAATTTCTGAGCCTTCCAGAAAGAGAATTTAAAATTGCCGTGATTAAAAAACTGACAGAAGTCATAAAGGAAAACAATGATAAGGAAAAAATAATCAACGATCAGAAGAATGCAATTGAGTCCCTAGAGAGGGAAAACAATGGTCAGAAGAAAGAAATTGAGTCCCTAAAGAGGGAAGTAAAAGAAATGCAGGAGATCAAAGAATTAATGGAAGAACTAAAGAATTCTGGGAAAAGCAATGAAAGCAGAATAGATGAAATGGAAGAACGAATAAGTAATCTTGAAGACACAGAAATAAAAAGAACCAAAACAGAAAAGGAAAGAGAAGTACGAAGGAAAAAGAACGAAGAAAGACTTCGGGAACTATCTGACTCCATGAGGAAAGGAAATATAAGAGTTATAGGAATACCAGAAGGAGAGGAGAGAGATGTAGGAACAGAGAAAATATTCAAAGAGATAATTGAAGAGAACTTCCCAAATGTGAAGAAGGAGCTGAAAATTGATATACAAGAAGCAAGAAGAACACCAAACTTCCACGACGAAAGGAAAAATACAGCAAGACACATAATAGTAAAGCTCCCAAGAATCCAGGACAAGGAAAAAATAATGAAGCTGGCAAGAGGGAAGAAACAGATAACATTCAAAGGAAAACCAATCAGGCTGACATCAGACTTCTCCGAAGAAACACTACGGGCAAGGAGAGAGTGGAGGGACATAGCCAACAG